AGTCCAGTTGGACAAGGACCTATCCTATGTTGAGGAGCCAGTGGCTATATTGGACAGGCAGATCAGAAAGTTGAGGTCAAAGAACATAGCTTCAGTGAAGGTTCAGTGGCGGGGTCAGCCGGCCGAGGAGGTGACTTGGGAGACCGAGCGGGATATGCGCAGCCAGTACCCTCATCTTTTCACTACTTCAGGTATGTTCTCTATGCTCGTTCGAGGACGAACGAATGATTAAGTTTAAGAGGATGTGACGACCCAGCCGGTCATCTTAAGAATTTATGCCCCGATCCCCTATTAACTGCTTCCCCTAAGTTCATTTCTGCTATTTTGGTTTGTCGGGACGTTCGGTATTGAGTTTCGGAGAGTTTTGGGACACTTAGTCCCTAAATGAGAGCCTAAGTGTTGAAAAGTGATCCGTAGTCGGAACAGTGTGAAGACGACCTCGGAATGGAAATCATATGCTTCAGTTAGCTCCGTTAGGTGATTTCGGGGTTGGGAGCGTGTTCGGAATGTATTTTGGAAGTCCGTAGCTCATTTAGGCTTGAAATGCCGAAGCTTGAATTTTTGAAGTTTCCGGTCCGATAGTGAATTTTTGATCCGAGGGCCGGAATGGAATTCCGGAAGTTGCAGTAGCTCCGTCGTGTCATTTGGGATGTGTGTGCAAAATTTCAGGTCATTCGGACGTGTTTTGGTTGGGTTTTTGATCGAAAATGTATTTTTATGGAATTTGAAATTCTTAGGCTCAAATCCTTGTTTAATTCGAGTTTCCGGCGTTGTTTTAGGTGGTTTAAGGATTGGTACAAGTTTGAATGAGGTATTAGGTGTTATTGATGCTTTTGGTTGAGGTCCCGGGGGCCTCGTGATGATTTCGGGTGGCTAACGGAGAAAATTTTGAAGTGTTGCAGCAGCTGATCCTTCTCTTCTGGTATTTTCGCTTCTGCGGCTTGGAAGCCGCAGAAGCGGAGCCGCATAAGCGGCCATCCCATCGCAGGAGCGGAATATGGGCTCCCTCAGCTTTCCGCAGGCTGCGAGACTTCTATCGCAGATGCGGCCCTGGGTCATTTGTGAGAAACCGCAGAAGCGGTAAGTTTTTCGCAGAAGCGGCCACCGCAGGTGCGGTTTAAGACCGCAGAAGCGGACCCCTGGATTTTAGTTAATAGCCGCAGAAGCGGCATTTGTTCCGCATAAGAGGGACCGCAGATGCGGTCCCTTGTCCACAGAAGCGGAAATGCCTGTTCTGATATAGAAAATTCGAGGGTTTGATTTCATAAGTTAGAAAAACCAAATTGAGCTCGGGTAAGGGCGATTTTCAGAGGGTTTTGAAGAGAAGACTATTGGGTAACGTTTCTTTAATCCCTTCTAGTTAATTTCATCATTTTGTAGTTAAATCCATCATTAAAATTCGAATTTGGGATCAAAATTGGAAGAAATTGGGTAAAACTTCATAGGCTAAACCATTGAGTTTTGAGTGAGCATTTGACCTCCGATTTGGGAGATTTTTATATGGTTAGACTCGTGAGAGTACGAGGGTTCTGAAAATGTGAAAATTATTCGATTCCGAGGCGTTGGCCTGAAGGGCATTTTGGTCATTTCACCTAATTTCACGCCGTAGCTTTGAATTAAATAGCAAAACCAGTTGTTTGCGATGTTATTTACAATGTGTAATTGAATTGAATAGATTTGGGCCATTTGGAGTCGGATACTCGTGGCAAGGGCGTGGTTTCTAGTTGATATTGAGCCGGTTCGAGGTAAGTGGCTTGTCTAACCTTGTGTGGGGGACCTCTTCCCCTTAGGACATGATATTTGATATTTGAAAGCCTCGTACGTGAGGTGACGAGCGCGTACTTGAGCTAATTGTTGGAGATCCATTTTACTTGAAGTATTTAAATTGAGTTCTTCTTGCCTACCTGTTTATTTTGAATTGTAAGTTTATCCTATGCTAGTTTAGAGAAGCATGTTTAGTTGACTTACTTGTTTAAGTGCTTAAACCGTCTTGTTTGTACTACGTGAAGCATGTTAGGCTAGGATTTCTATTACTTGTTCTGAGTTTAGCATTTATCCTAATGTTTTGGGCTGTTATTGCATTATTTAAATTGGGACTACGGGACGGCATCTCGGGAGATCCCCTTGTACTTGTTATGTTCTGAACTGAGGTGCGGGATACCAAGAGATCCCTGGCACATATAAATGTAAGATTTGAGGATACCAAGAGATCCTCGGGATACCAAGAGATCCCTAGTGTATATGATGAGGATACCAAGAGATTCCTAGTGTATATGATGAGGATACCAAGAGATCCTCGGGATACCAAGAGATCCCCGGCTATTACTTCCTGTTGTGAGCAGTATTTCCTTATATTGTTTTGTTTCTGCTTCCTATTACTGTTTCCCTTATTCATCCTGTTTAGATTCTCGTTGTAGACTTTAGCTATACTGTTTTCCTTATCCTATCATATATTACGTTTATCTCAGTAGGTCCCTGACCTTCCTCGTCACTACCCAACCGAGGTTAGGCTTGGCACTTACTGAGTACTGCTGTGGTGTACTCATGCCCTTCCTGCGCATGTTTTTCATGTGCAGATCCAGGTACCTCCACTCAGGCGCACTATCCTTGAGGCGAGGAGAGCTACAGAGACTTCGAGGTATATCTGCAGCGTCCGCAGACCGAAGAGTCTCCTTCCTTATTCTGTCTGTAGTGTTTAGATTCTATCATACTTTTGATGTAGACATTCTGGAGGTTAGAGCATTTACAGTATTTCTATTAGCCTGTGGTTCCCGTGAGTTTCCGGGTTTTGGAATTGAGTTGTAGACTTCCGCATTTCTTTCGAGTTGTATAGGCCGAGCGGCCTTATATGCTGTTATTATTTTAATATGTTTAGCTTTATTCAACCATTTCGCAAGTTAGGTTGTTATTTCCGCATTGTTAGGCTTACCTAGTTGTAGGAACTAGGTGCCATCACGACATGTTCATGGAGGGTGAACTGGGGTCGTGACATGATCATAATGAGGAGGAAATGAGCTCTAGAAGAGCCCACGATGTAGCATTTCATGAAACTCCAGAAGAAGTTCAGGTACCTGAAAATAAAGAAAGTGATGAGATCTCAACAAGTTATGTCGCTTAGGAACCGATACAAAATGATCGTCGATGATATATTTAATACAATATAGTGCATAATATTGTAAAAGATTGTGAGGATCGGACCTGTAGTCCAGACAACTGGAGATGTCATGCCATTTAAATGCAAGGCATAACCTATATGACTCATTTGATTAAGTCTACATGAAGATCCCTGAAGGATTTAAAATGCCTGAACCATACAATTCAAAGTCTTGAGAAATGTACTCGATCAAATTATAAAGATCTTTGTATGGTTTAAAGCAATCTGGGTGCATATGTATAATCGCCTCAGTGAATATTTGCTGAAAGAAGGTTACATAAAAGATGTTATTTGTCTGTGTATTTTTATAAAGAAATCATCATCAGAATTTGTTATACTTATTATTTATGCTGATGACATAAATCTTATTGGAACTCCAGAAGAGCTCCATAAAGCAATTGAATATCTTAATAGAATTTAAGATGAATGATCTTGGAAAAATAAAATTTTATCTTGGTATGCAAATTGAATATTTAGAAGACGATATCTTTATCCATAAATTTGCCTATAGAGAAAGTGTCTTTAAAATGCTTTTACATGGACAAAGCGCACCCATTAAGTACACCAATGAGTGTTCGATCACTTGAAGTAAATAAGGATCCGTTCCGATCTCCAGAAGAGGATAAGGAAATCCTTGGTCCTGAAATACTCTATCTCAATGCAATTGGTACACTTATGTATCTTGCTAATGCTAACAAAGGTGGTGCAGATCCTATTGGTTATGCAGATACAATATTAGAATGCGGAGACTCAAATGTTCTTCAGGGGGAGTAAAATACGCATTGTACTCTTTTTCCCTTACTAAGGTTTTTCCCACAGGGTTTTCCTTATAAGGTTTTTAATGAGGCAGCCAGTAATGCATATTACTAAATATGTGTACTCTTTTTTCTTCACTGGATTTTTTCCTACAGGGTTTTTCATAGTAAGATTTTAATGAGGCACATTATCTTTTAATGAACATCCAAGGGGGAGTGTTATAAATATATTATATTATGGATGTTCATTTAATATTCTATTGTAAATAAGCTTCCTGAAAAAGCTTATCCATATGAGACTCCCCCGTAAATATGTTTATCTATTTAGTACTCTATTGAAAATAAGCATCCTGAAGAAGCTTATACTTTCGATATTTCGTTATGGATAAACATTACCCCAAGTAGAAGATTATTCATACCTGGTACAATGAGCTTATCCTTTCGGTACTCCGTTATGGATAAACATTACCCTCGGTAGAAGATTATTTATATCTGATACAGTAGCAGCTTGCAGTAGCAGCTTGTCGTAGCAGCTAACACACCAGCTTGCAGTAACAACTTACACAGCAGCTTACACATCAGGTTCTTTTCTTCTATAAATAGAGGAGATTTCAGTTCATTATGTATATCAGTTTGAAGTTGAATAATATATCAATCTCTCTATATACTTGTCTTCCGTTTATTTACTTTAGTCTTTATTTTATAACAAGTAAATCATAGTAAAAAGTTTTTCTTATTCTTCTCCTCTTTCATTAAGGGTTTATTATCCTTTTTGCGGTATATACGGAATATTTCTTTATACTTTATTAGAGTCGTATCCATTGCTCATTGAATAGGCTTTCTATTTCATTCAAATCGCCAGCAACGCAAACGGAGGAAAAGAAGAAGGGTATTTTTGTCAAGTTTAGTATAAAGTGGCTAAATCTAATTACTTATGAAATTGTGGCTAAATCCTAATTACCGGACAAAAACTTATTTTATCCTGCATGGAATCCTGCTAATTTACCACAATTAAGTGATAAATTAAGATAAGCAGCATACATGTGCTAACTTAAAGAACTAAAACTGCTCAGAAGTTATATATCACAGGTACTCTTTTAAACCTACCGCAAACATAAGGGGTAGTATTTGTCATTTTCTCCATTCCTTCAGCTATAGGTTGGTGCTCGCTGACACACCTAGAAGAAGCGTAATTTCCATGGCTGCTCGCTCCATTTTCGTCACTCTCACAAGGTATTCACCTTCACCCTCTTATTCTCTCCATATTTCTGCACTTATATTGTTTTTCTTAAACTTACCTGATTCGCTTTTTTTCTGTTGGGAAATTCAGAAAAGCTGGTGGCAGAGAAAGGAGTCTATTCAGATCTTTTAGTTCAACAACTGAAGTTGTCTATGAAGACTCCTCCTCTAACTCTGGGGAGGAAGAAAAGGGTGAAACGGGAGATGATTTAAAGAGCAGAATATTCAGTCTTAGAGTGCCCAAAAGAAGCGCCACCAACGTGCTTCAGAAATGGGTCACTGAAGGCCGACAACTCTCCATCTCTGACCTCCGTCACATCTCCAAACAACTCCGCAACTCACGCAGATTCAAGCACGCCCTCGAGGTTCTTTTTTTCCTTTTTTCTTTTCAATCTTCTCTAGATTTGTCTTTGAACGCGCAATTTGCCGCCCCCCCCCCCCCCCCCTGGTTATCTTTTACTTCCAGGTATAAACATAGAGATGTGGACAAAATGAGTGTTGTAGAAATGTGGATGTTAAAATAGCCACTTAATCATACAAAACTAGTCAATTAGAAATTATCAAATTTGACAGGAGGCACATGTAGCACTTATAGAGGGCAAACTAAAAGAATGCTGTTTGTGATAATTTTACCCTGTTCTATGTAGACCTCATTTGCACCGACATAAATGCGACACTCATGATCAGAGGCAGGGAACAAAGTAGACCTAACTTAATACTCCCTTCGTTTCAATTTATGCGAACCTATTTGACTGGTCACGGAATTTAAGAAAAAAGAGAAGACTTTTGAACTTATGTTGTAAAATGAGGCACATATATTTTGTGTGGTTATAAATCATTGCATAAAAGTAAATTGTTTCCAAATAAAGGGGGTCATTCTTTTTGGCATGGATTAAAAAGGAAATAGGTTCACATAAATTGAAAGGGAGGGAGTATGAATGGGAGCATCTTAGGGTCTAGCTTACTTGTCGATGAAATTGGAATGAAGATCATGGGAGACCAGCATCACAGTACCAGTAAAGCCAAAAAGGTTAGCTGGTTACGTTCAATCTGTGTATGTTTTAATAGGCGAAGTTACCAAGTACCTGTACTAGTGAAAGGATATGTGTACCCAATTGAATAGTCGAGGTGCGTGCAATCTAGCATGACTCTACTGGTATCGCAAAACAGGAAGAGTTGCCTCAAAAGACCTGCATTCTCTTGAAAGCAATGCAGACAAAACTAGGAGCAGGTCGCAATGGAAGCAAATGATCCATATAGGCTATACCAGTTGGTTAGGATTAAGACTTAATTGTTGTTGTTGCACTTATACAGTTCCGGTGTTTGCCAAGATATTTTATTTTTTATTTTTTTATTTGCATTGGAATGATATGGATATAGAGCGGAACGTTCAGAGAGGATCATAAAGCCATCCCACTAGTTTGGTAGTGAAGGCTAGTTAGCGATTGATTGCGATAGATTCATCGAAGCAATGAGAACAACTGCTTTGGTCAAGAACTGGTACAACTTTGCTTTTTTTAGTTTAAAAAGTGAGATTCACCTAGCCCCCAGGGCCTAGCTCAAGTGCAAAGGGTGGTGGATTTGTGTCTTAGGTCACAGGTTCAAGCCCCCACACCATGCAAAGCAAAGCTTGGTATTTAAGTGGTGAAGGGTAAAGGGGCGGGCCCATTATCCACCGAGTTTCGAAGGCTGCGGTTGGTCCAAAGGATCGGCCCCAGACGATTTCTCGGTCATCAAAAAAAAAAAGTGAGATTCATCTATAAGCCAGTGGATGATAGTGATGGATCAGTGAGTTTGCTTTATACTTTATCTGCTATTTCACTTCCAGTTTTAGGAACAGGTTAAAAATAGAGCCAAAATTGGTTAACTAAAGCACTGTAAATCTAGTTCAGAGATTTTTTTTTTAATATGTGCACGACATATCCTCAGCTTTTTCCTTTAGTCACTTTGCTTATGTTCTGATGTCTGAAATTTCAACTAGTTCAGAGGGTTTTCCCCTTTTTTTCCCATCCCACCATAAACTCCCAGAATAAAAACCTCTGCGGTGTGAAGATTAGTTATACTGACACTATGTCATATTACAGTTTTGTTCAGTTAACTTTCAGGAAATTTCCGAGGTAAGTCTCTAGTTGGCCACAAGACGGAGAACATTGAGTTTTTTAAAATTATATTTTGAAGAAGAGAAGACCATGAAATTTTTAATTCCATGAATATATCTGAACATGTTAGCCATTTTGCTTTGGAAAACTTGTAGGTAGGAGATAGTTGTTTCACCTTGCAGTCATTCATTGTATAACTACTGGAAGTAATCACATCTGAAGCTGCCCAAACTACCTGAGAATCAAATTCTGCCTAGAGTTCTTTATACTCTTTGACGTGTCTGTAAAACAACACCAGTTCCAAGAAATGTATTATCCTTAGGGAACCTTTGGTGCTCCAATTGGATTAGGTAGGGATGCATTGCCATTGAATTAGGAATAGTTCTGTAGTGTACCTGGATTAGGGATGAGGACAGTTACGTAAGGAATTTATACGAACTGGAGTTGTATTTGCTAGGTTATGCAGTTCTCTTCCCTGGCCTGACAGTTGTCAAAGGGAACCTGAGACCTCACTTCGCTTTTATCCCATTTAGAATCCAGTCACTAAATGAGAACTGCTAATTTAATGTCAATGTCCGTATTTGTTGCATAAGTACTGATTTGCATCCTATAGCATTGCAGATCTCAGAATGGCTGGTTTACCACAATCAGGATGAAGCATTGGACTCCGACTATGCCACCCGCATTGACTTGATGACCAAAGTTTTTGGAATTGATTCTGCTGAACGCTATTTTGAAGGACTTCCCACCACTGTAAAAACTACTGAAACATATACTGCTCTCCTCCACTCCTATGCTAGTTTGAGATTAACTGACAAAGCTGAGGACCTGTTTGAAAGAATGAAAGAAGCAAATATTTCTCTGAGCACCATCACTTATAATGAGATGATGACTTTGTACATGTCTGTTGGACAGCTAGAAAAAGTACCTCTTATTGTTGAGGAGATGAAACTTCAAAAGGTTGCACCTGACCTATTTACTTATAATCTGTGGGTAAGTTCATGTGCTGCAGCTCTAAACATTGATGAGGTGAGACGGATTCTTGATGAAATAAGTCTTGGCTGTGACTCTGGTGAACATTGGTTAAGATATAGGAATCTTGTTAAAATATATATCACCTCAGGTAACCTTGTAAACTCAGGATCGAACTCTGTAGTTGAATCTGAGAAGGGTATCACACAAAGAGAATGGATATCATATGACTTTCTTATTATTCTCTATGGTGCATTGGGAAATAAAGACAAGCTTGATCAAATTTGGAAATCCTTACGGATGACTAATCAAAAAATGACTAGCAGAAATTATGTTTGCATACTCTCCTCATATCTCATGCTTGGACATATGAAGGAAGTTGGAGAAATTATTGATCAGTGGAAGCAATCTGCTGCGACAGATTTTGATAGCTCAAGCTGCAATAGACTTCTAAAGGCTTATAGCGAAGTTGAGTTGGAAGAGAGAGCTGCAGCTTTCCAATTGCTTCTAATTCAGAAAGGCTGTGACCTTATAGATGAATCACAGTAGCATGACCATGAGATCAAACATATTAATTTGAGAATGCTTGCAAGCATTTGTATGCAGCAGCATAGAGAGACAATAATCATGGCTGAAAGAGTTGTACTTTTTTCTATACCAATTAATCTTGGCTTCTAGATAAATTGGCAGTTCATTGTAGGCGATTTGCTGTTGGGTTGCGCCTTTAGGAGACTGGTTCATAAAAGTTCTGCAATTATTCTTGACTTGTTTAGTCTATTTAGCCAGACTTGTGTATTTATTTGGAATAACTGACCTGATGGGCATCCTTACTAAGTGATTGTGTAGTTTGCTCTTGGTTCAAACATACTAATATGAATTCCATATTGTTGAAACTCTTCTTCCGAGGGGTCTTTTGTATTTTGTGTGCTTGGGAGGCATCACTCATCAACTATTAATACCCTTCATCCTCGTGATATCAGTTAAATAAAAAGAACATGAAAGTTTGTGAAGATTTCCTTTTCATCCCTTTAAAGCTAATGGTGACAAAATTAGGCTCATATCCTCACATTACCCACGTTCCTCCTGCACAAGGAATGCATGTATACATACTTCTATTTTTGTGTATTTTCTCAGTACTCGAATCCATTATCATCAACAGATATCTCCATTTTCAAACCTTTCCTTTTACCATGCCAAAGATGACCAGATCAGCAGGCCTATCACAACCAGAAAGAACCATCAGTAACCACAAGTATAAGCCTTACCATCCCAAACAACATTCTAAGACAAATTCACTCTTTTCAATCTACTCACCAAAATTCTCCATCTATCTCCTAATCACTTGTGCCATTATTTTCATTCTTTTCCAAATTCAATCTTTACAAACCCCATCTACTTCTCTCTTGCCATCATGGACATTCTTGAATCAATGGCAAAAAGTCATCATCAACACAAGTACAAGCATATCAACTTTCAATAATGATCACAACTGCAACAATGATCAAGATAATCTCACCAAATCAATGGCCACGAAACTCCGCGAGTCGGTTACTTTTCTTCCTCTGAAAGACTTACGTTACTCCTCCACAGCTCAACAAGGACACACATGGTTCATGAGTTCCATGTATGACACACATGAAGAAGGTGAAGTCCAATACCAAAGATTCCCTTCAAATGCATCAAAAGGTAGAGTTTTGTGCCTTAAAGGTAATGATACTCATGATGGTGCATGGAATTACTATGCACTAGCATGGCCTGAAACATTGCCTTACAATTCCACCTTAAAAAAAGGTCTCACATTTGTATCTTACAATCACTATAACTATGAAAACATTTGGCATGGCTTGTCAGCTATGGTACCATTTGTAGCATGGCATATTAAAAAACAATGTTCACTTGTTCCATCTAGATGGATTTTGTACCATTGGGGTGAAGTTAGGATTAAAATGGGACCTTGGTTGAAATCTTTAATGGAAGCTACATTTGGAGAACCACTTCATATTGAAACAAATTATGGAAATGAAGAATCTGAAAACAATATGATTGCTTCTTGTTTTGAGGATGCTGTGGTGATGAGACATAATGAAGGGGGAATGTCTAGACAAAAAAGGATACAAGTATATGATTTACTAAGGTGTAAGGCCAGAATTTACTGTAATGTGAGCTTAGAAGGTAGGTTGTCGGAGGTGAACAAAGGGGGATTGCCGGTGATCGGAATGACAATGTATTTGAGGACTGGACCAAGATCTTTCAATAATGAATCAGTTGTGATTAAAATCTTTGAAAAGGAATGTCAGAAGCTGCAGGGCTGCAGATTCATAGTTGCTTACTCCAGTAATCTCACTTTTTGTGAACAGGTAAACTCTATGTCTATCATTAAATTGTTTAATTTCTATAAAGAAAAGTATAGGTTGCTTTTTCATAATAATGGGTAATGTAAAATTCTGTTACCGTATCAGTACATGTAAGATATGTTGGGTTCGAAATAACATGGTGCATGCGGAAACTAACAATACAAAGCTTGGTGGACGATAAATCAGACGACAAAAGAAAAATATACTAAACTAAGCATAAAGTTTATAATGGTTTGGTCAATTGACCTACATATGATAAAACTAATCTAAAAGAAGAAAAACTATCGACAGAAAAATCTTTCCTTAAACAAAATCTTTAATGACTACATTGTGGATATTTTTTTGTTTTTGTTTGTTTTCTTGTGACAAGTAGAGATCCTTAATTTATAGATGTGCAAAACTTGTCTTCCAAGAAAAGGATAAGACATATTAAGGAGATTTAATCCTTTTAGGAGTCTTTTTTCATTCCTTCAAGAAAGAGAGTCCTAATGATTAAAAATTCAAGGCAAAGTCTTAACAAGATAAACCCATTACTGGCTTATCTACGCGTTTGGTAAATACCCAAAGTGCTTATAAGCGCTAAGATCAGCCATATGTCATAAGCTGGTCACCCCCAACTTATGGCTTTTCAGCTTATAAGCACTTTTAGTTTGACCAACACTTTTACTAGTTTATCCTTAATAATATTTTCTAATTCACAAAATGTCTTTTACCAAAATAAATTTCTTGACCTTCTCTTCATTCCATATTCATTGTTAATCCTTTTCTTTACAAAGAAATTTTTAATTTATAATCTTTTGGAAAAAATTCAAGTGTATTTTAGTCATTTTAACAAAAGATTAGCTTATTAGCGCTTTTTAATCAAACACATTAACTGCTTATTATCAGTTTCATTCAGCACTTTTATACAAACACGTAAATGCGTATTTTAAAAATCAGTTTCAGCACTTAAAAGAACTTTTCAGCACTTCAAGCTTATCAGCTATTTACAATAAGCTAATCCAAACGGGCTCTAAAAGCATCATTATTGTACCTTTTTAATTTCCTCTACTCTTATTTGCAGTTTATTGTTTTAATTTTCTGTTTGGTATATTTTGTTTTGGGAGAATATGTGGTCTCTAATCCTTAAAAATTATAACTTTTAACTATTCATAGTGTCAAAAATGTTTATATATATACTGTAGTTTTTCCAACTTCAAAAGATTCCTTACCCGTCTTTTTCAAACTATCAACGTACAATCGCACTTATAATATTTAGTAGGCGTTTAGACATAAAAATTGCGATTTCTGAAAAAATTTACATACCATTGGTTTTTTACTGACCTGATTGTTTAAATATTTAGTATGTAAAACTGCCACTGAATAAAACTTGATGTATTTTTCTGAATTATCCTAGCTCTATCATGATTCATGTGCTAGAGTCATAGATCCCTGGAAACAATTGTGAAATTCTTGCTGAGGGTGCGCTATAGTCATAGTTCTATTGTGTTATTAAGTTTGACAATACATACTAATGAAAAAAACTGCTACGCTCTAATTCCAAACAAGTTATTGTCAACCGTATAAATTCATAATATTCATGTCGCTCCATTTAAGTTCATATCAGTCCAATATTACACATATAGCTAGCTTCTCTTCTAGCATCATATTCAAAGCTAAGTTCTTTACATTTGCTACAAACATATAAATCTCTAACCAGACCAAAAAAAACTCCTAACCAAACATTGGATCTAAAGTGAATGTACATATATAATGTTTACTACTTTCAATTTTCTTGATATTTTGCATTCGTCCGCCAATTCATATACTCTAGTATATTTACATAGACAAACCTTATTTATTACAACATCTGCAGGTGAAGGTGATGAGTATGACAGACATACTGATATCCCCACACGGAGCACAATTAACAAACATGTTCCTCATGGACAAAAACAGCAGTGTGTTAGAGTTTTTTCCCAAAGGGTGGCTCAAACTTGCAGGCGTAGGCCAATATGTGTATCACTGGATAGCTAGCTGGTCGGGGATGAAACACGAGGGAGCTTGGCGTGACCCTGATGGTGATCCCTGCCCTTACTCGGACGACGATAGGCGTTGCATGGCCGTTTATAAAGGTGCCAAAATTGGATACAATGAGACCTATTTTTCTGAATGGGCTAGAGGTGTTCTTAGTGAGGTGAGAATAAGGAAGAAGGAAGAGTTAGCCTCAAAGAAGAACAATTCACATCATCCTACTCCTAGTGGATGTCAATGCAGTAGCTAAGTGCATCCTTTTCCTTGTATTCCCTCTGTGTCAATTAATTTATGTCATGTTCTTCCTTTTGATATGTCTTAAAAAGAATGTTACAATACTATATTTAATAATTTGACTTTAAACTTTTCAACTATTAATGAGATGATTTATAGCCAAATAAATATATTGTTTTAGACTACAAGTTTCAAAAGTTTTTATTTCTGTCTAAAATTTCTCTAGAATATTATGAATTGATGATCAGAACATACATCATGCATTCTTGGGAGAAATTCAAAAATAGTCTGATTTATATGTGGTCATTGAAAAATAGCCACAGTTTCAAAAGTAATCGAAATTTAGCCACTTTTCATGTAATAATAAATCTGAACGAAAACGCTGTTCAAAATCCGGAAAATATTCCAACATAATATACTGGGACTCCAGCATAGTATACTGGACTTCCAGCATAATATACTGGAGTTCAGTATAATACACCGGTCCAGCATAATATGCTAGAAGTTCATACACAGATGCTCCAATCTCCAGTATATTATGCTGGAACTTTCCGCGTGTTGGAGTTCCAGCATAATATAATGGAAGTTCATACACAGGTGCACCAATCTCCAGTATATTATGCTGGAACTTTCGGTGTTGCAGCAGAATAGTGGCTATTTTTCATTGACTTTGCAAGCGCTGACTATTTTTAAATGATCAGTTCGAAAATTGACGTGCTATTGTACATTCTAATTTTAAATTGATGGCCCAAGGCGTTTATTGGGCCGAATTTGCTTCTTTGGACTAAAAATACAAAGAAACTCTCACTTTCCAGTTTTCATATTAGGCAGTTTTGAAAGACTTTGAAGCTGGCAATTGGCATCACTATCATATTCATATTACTAATTCTAATATAATGGGCTCCTCCATTGGTTTAACAACATATCTTGTCCCACCAATATCCAACAATCTTTATAGATTAGCACGTGCAATAGCTCACTCCAATTATCCATCTCTTTTCCCATACCTTCATCAAGATGGTTATTGTCTTGTCACTTGTCAATAATTCACTTTCTTGCAATGGTCTTAGTCTTCCATTGAGGTGTCAAATGGGCATATATAATGCGCCATTTTGACCACTTAACACAACACAAATTAGAGTCATCACGACTTAAATCTGTCTAAAGTTCATTTAAATCATTATGAATCAAATTTCATTTGCTTCACAAATGCGTAACATATTAAACAGTTACTACTATTTTCTCATGATAAGAGGAAATGTACCTTTGTTCTTGCAAGATACAAGGTAACACTTGT